TGATGCTGGTTTTGTTTTTAAAGTCTCTGTGTAAGGGAATAGAAATGGGGACAAAAACCAGGAGAAATAATGGTTGTCTAGAATAATGGGAGGGAAGGACTGGAGTTCAGTACCTGGTTTCTGTCATTGTGGGAAACACCTGGTGTGAACGTTTGGAGAAGTTCCAGTAACCTAACTTGTATTTTTTTGTAATCTCCTAGATGTTATTGATGGTGATCTTTTTCTTTTAAAGAGGGTCTGATCTGAGCAATTTTGGAGCAGTGCCCCAACAGAAGAAGCTGCAGGAGGAACTTTCTGATTTATCGGCGATGGAAGATGCTCTGGATGAGTTAATTAAGGATTGTGCTCAGCAGTTGTTCAAGTTAACAGATGACAAAGAGAATGAAAGATATCCTTTAACTCTGTACCTTTAAAAAAATTCTCCTTCCAAAGCAGATTACTTTATATGGTAGGGTCAGCTTGGGGATTAATTAATACATTTAAGATACAAAATAAGACCTTTAGAAGTGAGTGAATTGCCGTAGAAATGGTACTTAAACTGCCATTCTAGTCCACAAAGCATAACACGCAGCCGAATGTCGTACTGCTCCTAGGTTCAGTGTCTCTGGGACCAGAGGGGGAGATTTCTCTTTGGTCCTGATCTCTTCCTGGGTCTCCTAGACTGTTCTGCTGCCCCGTTGCCCACACGGAGCGGGTGAACACCTTTCTGAGGTGTCGCTGATTCTGAGCTCTTCCATGCTTCAAGTTTACTTAGACTCTACCCCAGTCAAAACTCCCGTTTCCACAAGACAGTTACTAGAAGGAAGGTAAATGCTGTTACTACACTCAATCAAAAGATGTGTGGAATAAGAGAAAAAAAAAAAAGAATGCTGGGGAAGCCCAGTAAATCACGTAACTGGTAAAAATTTCAGGCAACACAATAAAAGAAGATGAGAAAAATTCAGGTAGTGAGATGGAAAATAATTTTGGATGAGGGAAATCCCATGAGTACATCATAGTCCTGAAAAACTGGTTCTCTAAGTTGTGTCTGCTTCTTACTGATTCTTTCCACCTTACATTTTAGGAGATTCTCATCAAAACTCTGAATATTTTTTCCCAAAGGTTCTCACAGTAAGATCTCGCAATGCATAGGGAAGGGCGGGGGGAGGTTTGATACCTTCATGGGTTGTATTTGTTTTAGAGGTCCAGACTTCATTAATATTTTTCGCCAGAAAGTGTCGTCATCACAGTAGTATAGTTCAAAGGGATTCTTCAAGTTATAAATATTGTAAAACACTTTATAAAATCTTACGAATTGTTTATGAAATAATAAGAATTATATATGAAATAATTTTTTCCTGACTGCTTTCCTTAATTGTGAGTTTGTATCCCATAAAAACTAATGATATTCTAAGATTACACTTGGATTCATGTATTATAAGAGATAAATTATCTCCCCACTCTGCTTAGAGACCCTTGACTGATTTTCACACTAGCATATGTGACGTATCAAGATATTCATAGCATTCAAGCCTTCCATGAACAGATTGTAATTGCAGTTAAGGCTCCGGCAGAAACCAGGTTGGATGTTCCAGCGCCCAGAGAAGTAGGTAGCCTTGCATTTTTAAGAAGTCTTAAAGGGAGGCAGGCCAGCTGCTTAGGCTGTGCTTCATTGCAGTCCCAGCGCCTTATCACCGGTATGTGTGTGGTAGCTGCATACCTGATATAGCTTGAGGCACTGTACACATTCTGAGCTGTTTTGCCTAACACGACAAACGCGGTAGTCATGATTATTATCCTTTTAAAGATGAGGAATCTGAAGCGCAGGAGGATGAGTTAACTTCCTCACCATCCACAGTGAGTGACAGAACCACAATTCAAGCCCAGGTAGTTTGGGTTCACAGTCTGTTCTTAACCGTTGTACTCTCATGCCTCTTAGAGGACTCCCCGAGGACTGCCTCAGTGTTAAGATTCAGTGTCAGCAAGGGCTCTAGGGAATTAACTCACTAACCAAGTTCATAAAAGACTATGAATAAAAGAGAACACTAAATTATACATTTAAAATGAAAAGTAAAATTGCTTCGTAAATGAAAAGACTCTCCGCTGTCAGCTGCTTGTAGGAAAGTTTGTATTGAAAGATACTTGTCATCAGAAGGTTGCGTGGTAAGGGTGGGATCAGAACGAAGGAGTGTGACCATTCTTAGGACAGATCAAGTGCTGGCAGCCTGATAGAACTGTCACTGCTGAAGTCGTCACTTCACTGCGATAGGGACTTAACTCCCTCATCGTGAAGAAATTCTCACCACCCACCTTTCCTTTTATCCCCAGAAGACCACTGGCCATGTGAGACCCCAGTTGCTACTTGACAGTGTATTACAGACGGATTGAGGAGCAGCTTCCGTTTATTCCAGAGTCACACTCAGGTTGTGACTCCTTGGTGATGCTTCCTAGTTGTTTTATTTAGATTTAGATACATTCCGAGTCTCCTAAGTAACATTTATATTTAATATGAATCATTCCACATATTCACATTCACACATCATCACTAATCTTTCAGTACACCCTTCCTTTGGGGCATGATGGTCCGTTCCGCGGTGGCTGACGGGGCTTTTCCCTGTGCTGTGAACTGCTTCAGGCTGTAATTGCCAAATGGTACTGAGCCTTCGATCATGCCCAGGATGTCTCTTAGATCCCGTTTAGAAGCTGAGGAACGTGGGCGCTCTTGGCAGCCATTCTCAGCAATAAGGGAAGACAGTGGGACCGATAGACACAAGAGTCCGATTCCAGGGAGATCTGGGGATCTAGTCCCGGTGGAGATGGACTGGCCTTTGGGTCAAATCCAGCCTGCTGGGTTTTTGTAAATAATTGTTTTGGGGCACAGCCACGTGCCCATTCGTTTAGATTGTGTCTCTGACTGCTTTCACTCTAGAATGGCAGTTGTGTGGTTGTGAGAAGGATGGCATGGCCCACAAAGTCAACAGTATTACCTCGCGCTGCACAGAGGCGTGGGCAGCCCCTGGCTGAGTGGACGCGAGGTCCTCAGCTGCCACTTCTGGGCAGCTCAGTGCTTTCCCTATGGCTCAGAAGCATCTGTCGAATTGCACAACGTGTGCCGTTCAAACAAGACCTGGCCCGCCCGTCTAGGAGCTGAGCAGATGTTCTTCATTGTACCTGCCTGCTGCCGGGAAGCTGTGGAAGGTGGCACTTGAGGTTGGGAGCCCCTCTGCTGTGAGATCACAGGGTGGTGTAGAGCAGGGGCACCTGGTATCAAGCCCAGGCCTAACCACAGGAGAGGGGAGAAGATAGCCTTGACTATTGAACCCACTCGCATCAAAACAACAACGAATCATCTATAACCGGGACTGTTCCTTACGAGTTTAGCATAATTCTCAGTAGAAGTACCCAATTTCCTGATATCTTTTGGGTTTTAATGTTTTAAATTACAAGAGGTATATTTCGTCTTGATCTCATCCTCTTTTTCAAGTGGGTGGAAGAATGGTTCTTTCATTTAGCTCTGTACCTCTTCAGGGGTCTGAAATCCTAACACAGCCTTATCATTTGAGTCTGCGGGGTGTTTTAGATTTCTTTGTCGTCAAAATACTGATCTTTGAGTCTCAAGTACAGACTCCTTAAAGGGGTCAAGTCTTGAGTAGAGAAAGACGGGCTCCTGAGTGCTGAGGTGGCCCCTCCTGGCTCTGAAACCATCGCTGCACAATCAAGTAACTGTGTTAACTGTGTGAACTGGCCAGTGGTTTCCTGTGACTCAAGCTAACTAATAAATATGTGATTTTCCCAAATATGTGATAGAAAGGAAACTACCTGAATGAGAATTTTCAAAAGTGTCCCTTGAAACTTTTACAGTTCTAGTAAGTGAAAAAATATAATCAATGAATTCTCTCATTCATCTAGATGTTTCCTGTGTCTTTGCTAGGACTCTATCACAGTCCATATCAGGAGCACTCAGGGGCCTATCGATGTCTATCTATGTGAAGTGGAGCAGAGCCACCCAAGCAGTAACGTGTCGGACGGTGTCGGCGCCTCTTCATCTGAAAGCAGACATCCAGAACAGCCCGCCCCTGAGAAAGGTAAGTGCACCAATCTTGTGATTAGGAAAATTTAAGGTTTTAATGATTTTTAAAATAGAGTTTTATAAATGAATATCATGGCCTTATAGGTATTTTTACTCTTCTAGCTACAAAAACATGAGTTAAAAAATTACAAGCTAATTCTTAACTATAGTTTAGACTGTTTCTGTGTAGTTTTGATAGCCGTGAAAACTTAGAATTGTAGTTGGTCCCAGAGTGTGGTCTCTGTAGAGAAGGCTGTGTGCATCCTCTGACCCGGCTTCTCAGGCACATGTTTGAGTTCTCGTTTATTCTCGTGAGACTCAAAACATTAGCCTTATGCCATTAACGTAAGAATACGCTTCTTGACCGAGGTCTTCCTATTTTTTTTTAAGCACTTGAATTGTATGTTCTATCACCTGTCTGCCTTTCATACCTTCACTTAGGAGACTTTCTCTTGTGCTTGTTATTTTTCAGAAGAAAATCCTCCACAGCAAAGTGAAGAACTGCTTGAAGTGAGCAATTGATGGCGTTTGAGGATTCGTGCATTGAGTCTTTTGGGGACATCCTGTGTGGATGAATTATGCATTAGCTGTGATTCTCAGAGCAATAAATCATCCCAGACATTTTCTCATTCTCAGTAGCAGCAGTAAGGCCAGGAGTACCTTCGAGTAGTTCACTACTTAGATTACTGGATACGGTTTCTTCATTTGAAAACAACTCTTTTTATAATTATTCACTGCTTTTTGTCAGTGAAATAGACATCTTGCCTACTGAAATTACTAAATCACCCAGAGTATCACTGAAACAGACAGGCAGGCTGGATGGACAGTTCTTAGTGGACCTTGCCCTTTGCTGCGTGGATCATGTGTCATTATCACAAAAGAAATTGCCTTACACGGGTTCATGTCTGCAATGGATGGGTGTACGCACGCATCTGGACATGATGTCTTTGTATATATTTGTATAATGTTTAGATCACTTATGAAATACGTCGAAGTGAAACTTTTCACCTTTGTACAGCCAAAATAATGTATATATGGAAAGTAACAGACATATTCTCTAATTTCTGTGGTATCTATAACTTATTAGAATCCTCTGGATGGGGGTTAGAGGAGCGTTTTTTCCAGACTTCTACATGTAGAAGGATCCTAAATACGCTGTACGTTTAAAGTTCACGGATTCAATGAAGGCATTTCAGTATATGGTTCCCAGCGCTAAAATTGGACTTTAAGCTCCCTGCAGAGTCATTGTGTCTGAACAGACTGGTGGCGTACCCCAAGCTTTAGGGGCGAGTGTACAAGTGCCCATCAGGTCATGGCTTAATTTCTTGCAAGACATGAATTCAATCATGATGAGAATTGGAAAGTATTTTAACCTTTCTTGCAAGCAGGGTTTGTAATGTGTTTCTGTATGCAGCCTTGCTCTTCAATCAAAGGGGTTTACTTACGATGAGTTAGTGGTACCTGCCCTCTCTTCAGCTCCAGTCCCACGTTTCCAAGTACCTAGCTATTTCTACCTCATTGGGTAAGTCATTTACCACTCTGTGCCTCAGTTTACTCAGTAGTTTACCATTAGACTGTGAGCTCCTTGAGGGACGGTCTTAATCATTGTTAAACCCAGCGACTGGCACCACACCTAGCACATAAAAAGTGCTCAGTAAATGTTTGAATAAATCAGTGAGTGAGTGAGTGAATGGTCAAATTAAACTAATAATCCTTGGCTTATATAACGTACAAGGGTTTTGTGTCGTTCAAATTTCATATTTTAAACTTCTCTTACTTTCAAAGAAAGAATGGAAGCAACATGAAATTAAGACCATGTGTAAAGAGTTGGCATAGGAATCAAAAATCAAAATACTGAAAAATAATGCTGAGCATTGAGGACTGGCACACCTCTGAGCTCCAGCGGCTTTTGCGGTCCTGTCCCTCTGCTGAGCTCCAACCTCTCCCCTCCTCACAGACCGTGCCGACTGCCTCTGTCGGCCCGGGACTGCTTGCCGTGCTGCTCCTCCTGGGCGCGTGTGGTGAACCTGAGAGTTCAGCAGAAGGGGTGTGTAGAGATCAGGTGCTCCGTGCAGAGGTCCAGGCTCTGCCTTGTAGATGTGGCAGCTGTCGGTCATATGGGATGGCTAAACATGAGAGTGGATGAGGTCACTTAATGAGAGGGTACAGCAGAAGTGGGAGAGGCCTGTTAACATTTACTTTAAGGGGAAATACAGAAGAAAAGCCTTTTCCTGAGAAGGAATAATGAGAGGAAGGGAAAACAAACAATTAAAGAAGGCGGTGCCCCCAAAACCAACAAAGAAAGCAGGACCACAGGTGACAGCATCGTTTCTAAGCAGCAGTTCCTTGTGAAATGTGACAAATGTTCTGCTCTGCAAATTGCTCTGAGAGTAAAATGAGATCATGTAAAGGAAAGTCCTTTGTGAACTGTAGACGTGTTACGTAAATGAATCTCTCTCCTGTCACTCCAACTTCTGGTGATGGTTTCTTCTTTTTACAGCTGCTAAGGTACGCATCCCCAGAACTAGCGTCCAGGGTTCTCCCTCCCCCACCCTGCCCTGAACATCACTACCCATCTCTCTGTGCGTACAGGCGTACCTCATTTTATTGTGCTTCGCAGATGCTGTGATTTTTAAAAATTGAAGGTTTGTGGCCACCCTGTGTCCAGCAAGTCTGTAGGCGCTATTTTCCCAGTAGCGTTTGCTCATTTCATGTCTCTGTGTCGCATTTTGGTAATTCTTGTAATATTTCAAATGTTTTCCTTATTATTATGTTTGTTATAAATATAAAACTTGAACAGATGAGGAGCTGCTTCTTAATGATGAACCAAGAAAGTGGTTTCTTGAGTTGGAATCTAATCCGGGTGAAGATGCTGTGAAGATTGTTGAAATGACAACAAAGGATTGAGAATATGACAGATGTAGTTGATAAAGCAGCAGCAGGGTTTGAGAGGCTTGATGCCAATTTTGAAAGACGTTCTGCTGTGGGTAAAATGCCAGCAAACAGCGTTGCAGGCTACAGAAAAATCATCCATGAAAGGAGGAGTCTCCTTCACTGTTGTCTGACTTTAGGAAATTGCCACAGCCTTTGTCTACTAATCTAAAGCCATGTCTCCAGTCAGCTTTATTAACAATGGTAGAGATACTTTATTAATATCTGATGTCCGTCTCTCAGACCTGTGTGTCTACCAGTTAGTTCTGAACGTGGAAGGGGAAGGGATGTTACTGGGAAAAGAAACCGTAGCAGACTTTGCACTGGGGCACCCATATTAGCAAGGATTAAATTCAGCTGCAAGTAGCAGAAAAACCCCAAAATAACAGCGGCTTAAGAAAGATACAAGTACATCTGTCACATACAGGAAGTCTGCAGATAGTCCAGAGTTGGTGTGGCTCTCCAAGGGGTCAGAGCTCTCCAAGGGGTCAGGGCTCTCCAAGGGGTCAGGGCTCTCCAAGGGGTCAGGGACCAAGTTTCCTTCCAGGTAGCTCTTCCTTTAGGCTTGGCTTCTATTTCCGAGTTCACTGCAAAGTCCAGGAGAGCTGCTGGAGCCCCAGCCGTTGTGTCTACATACGAGCCAGCAGGCAGGATGAAGAAAGAGAAGAAAGGTACACTTCTCCTTGAGGACACTTCCTGCAGTTCACTTCACTTTACATCCAATGGCCACAATTTAGCCACTTAGCTTTAGAAATGTAATCTTGGGTAGGGGGACAGCCACGTGCCCAGCTAACACCTGGAGCTCTATTGCTGTTGAAGAATAGTAGATACAGGGTGTGGTTAGACGTTATTAGATCCTATCCTCCCCTGTGGGCAGGAGGATGACCTCTAGTGAGACCACATGACTAGTTCTAGCCAGTTGGCTATGAAAGGAAGTGACATGTGAAAAGACCATGCAGTTCTGCAGTAGCTCTTCCCGCCCCAGTAACCAAGAAAGCCACAGGTTCTAGGTGATGCAGCTCTAAGATCCTGGAGTCTCCATCAGCCTGGATCCCCAAGAGACTGTGTGGAATTGCCCTGCCCATCTGCATGCAATGCGAGATGTGTCAAATCATCGCGATTTATTTGGAGCTAATTTGTTGCTGCAGCATACCCCAGCCTATGCTAACTAGTATGTTTGGGGACGACCAGCAATCTCTGCCACAAGTCAGTGAACGAAAGACTCAAAAACAGCCTCACACCAAACCAGTGTCATACCTTCGGCACACTCCCAACTGGTCAGTTGCTTATGATCAATAAGATGTGACTATTAATACGTTCGTTGGCCACTAGCGTCATGGGAGGCTAACACAAATTTGTGTAATGATTGCCATCTAGTGGAGAGTTCAGTTTCCAGATTTCTTCACTTGTTTCCAATTAAGCAGATGCTGCTAGAGAATAGCATTGACTTTAAATTTACAGATCCCGTTCTTGTTGATAAAGTGAGTTCACACTAATTCTCACATATCAAGATCTAAATGGAATAACTGGGGAGGAAAGAGGTCACAACTGTTAAGAGATCAGCGTTATATTCTAGCTGTGGCCATGTCTGGATCACGTTCTTGCCGTGACCCAGTCTGCAGAGATCTTGAGTGTCTCCACTCCCCTCAGAACATCACATTGGCCCATGACTTTGGCTCTGTTGAGCAGGGAGTAGTAAATGCCTTAGACGTTTCAGTAAGATGCACGTGTTCCAGAGACGGTATGACAAACACTCTTAATACCAAGTACTGTATCAGGCAGGGTCCAGTAAGAAAACCACGGTGGGTATCACGTCAGAGGTGAGTTAATACAAGAAGGCTGAAGCAGCAAGAAAGGACCTTGAGGTAGCAGATATTAATAACTCAGCTACCGCCCCTACGATAAAGTAGCATTCCCGTAACCCGGGAGCCCAGAGGAGAGATCCTCGCATCTCTGGAGGAGATGCCACACCAGTGCTCTGGTGGGGAAGGAGACACCCACCTAATGGTTAGTACTCAAACCTCTGATTGGGGTGGGACACAGGCGTGCACACCACTAAGGGGTTACAGCCACTAGTGCTGGCACTCCTGAGGGGACACCATGGCCGGTGCTGGGGCTACCAAAGGGATCTGGAAAGTGGAGCCGCGCAGTCCTCTGTTGCCGCCGGGACACTGACAGGAGCTAGAAAAAGGAAGAAAGTTACTCCTGTCCTCTTCCTGCATTCCATTCTCCCACCACTGCCTGCTTATCAGCACCCAACTGGCCAGCAGGGGAGGATAGGCCACGGTGTTTGCAGGGCCCAGTCCCAGCATGACAGAACAGAGCATAGAAGGGTGGGATGGATCTGAGAGAAAGGAAACACCCAGCGCGTCCTTCCTACCCATAACGGCCACATGGTGTAGGCAGCCCAACTCTGCCCTTCGCTAAGTATGACTTTAGAGAAATCACCCTGTTTTCCCACCTGTAGGCTAATTGTAAAATTCCATTGTACAGTTGACCCTTGAATAACACGGGTTCGAACTGCACAAGTCCAGTTATATGTGGACTTTTTTTTCAAAAACTACTCCAGGATCACACGATCCCAGGTTGGTGGAACCCACAGACGCGGAACCCGCGGGTACAAAGGAACTACGAATAGGAGGACGGACTGTAA